CTTACAGATACAGAATAAGAACTGTTTGTTAGCTGAAATGTTTCAAAATACCTATGGTATAAGTGTAACTGATAAAGCCGATTGCATTAATATCTGATTTGTAATGTGGTGCGAAAGGTGATACATATGAATATATGTAAATATATATATATATATATATTCCACTAGATAACATTATAGATATTAAAGATACATATTTAATTGCACACATAATTATCTGTTCATAGTATATTTTGGTCATGTGCCATAAAATTTACCAGTCAATAAAAATCAGTAGTGTATTTTGCGCTCTGTGAACTGTTTAGTTTTGATTGTCAAGCTTTCATTGTCTTTTTAGACATCGCCTTCATTGCTTACTTTTGACTGCATATACTTACGTTCTGTCTATCATGTTAAGTGCTGTAATATGGCAAGCAATTTTGAGGTTAGGTATAGATTGCCAGGTAAGGAAGCGAAGTCAATCAATGAGGTTGTGAAGCTACATCGATTGAGATCTCTGGCATATGTGTTGCGTATGCCGATATACCACTTTCCTTGATAAACAATGTTAGCTGACAAGGGTTTGGGTTGGAAGAGAGTTGAGGGTGTTCAAGCCAAAACCTTGCAGCAATCTATTAAGTCTCTGACAGTTGGTCTGAGCTACATAGAAAGGTTCCGACTGACTGGTTAGGGTCCTCAGGATACTAAAAGCTAATGACTTAAGACTGCTGATGACATTGCTCAAAATCATTCTCAGTGGCTCAGATGCATTTACTCTTTCTAATCTGCTATATCCATTAAACCCTCATATTTTTCCATGTTACTATTCATCTTTCCGTACATTTCTGCTCCTTATAGTTCTTGCTGAATTTCTTCTTCCTCTCTATACTCCATCTTTGTGTTCTACGTGGAGTGTGGCAACTTGAACTTCTGTGCAAAGTTGCATGCTTAGATCCATTCAGTCAGTCAGTTGCCCACCTACCTAATTGTGAAGTAAGCTTTCAGAATTCTCCATGAACAGTATATATTCCTCTTTTCCAGTGACGGATTGATTCTTCCTACAAGTATTCTTCGTCACTTCAGAATCAACACTGTGTCTGTCTTATCTCCAACAAAGGTAAACAAATGAACCACTTTTTAAAATTAAAAAATACCTGAGTCCATGTCGATGGTAAGAAATATAAAAGCAAAAAGTTTGGAGTTCTTCAAACAACCAACTGACTCAGTCCAATAAGTCTTTTGGGACGATTCCAAAATGTTATGATAATCAGATACAAAGTGTAGGCAGAATGAAAAATATTTCCCGCTTTAAATGATGATGTTTGTCATTGTAACTCGAAGAATATAATGACTAATTAATATCGCCAAAATCTCAGCTGGAAACAAGTGAATCGGCTGATTAGCATACATTACTGGTTGACCAGAGCGGTTGTCAACGTTTCATATCAATCAGTAGTATATACGAACATAACGTTATTCTTGCTGTCTTGATTCCCGCGTATGCTTTGTAGCAGATCATATGGCAAATTATCTGGATATTTTTTGATTTCTTCTAACAACCCGCGGTGAATTACCACGTGTGTTATGCCACCCTTTGCTCTAGTAACTTAGTTATTCGTTCCTGGGGACACCTACCAGTGTAGCTAAATATAGGTGTAGTGATGTTAGATCACCTTGTCCAAACAGACCATAAGGCCAGCATTAAAGAATCCTGTTCCATCGGCCATGGGGTAACAGAAAAAGAACTCTAGGTACCGAATAATCCAAACATCGTGTGTTGGTGGCATACCGGTTAGGACGCTCGTCGACCATGAACATGGTCCGGGGTTCGATCCCCGGCCGACGCACTCCTTTACCTCGCTAAGCCAGAAATAATGCTGGTGAAGAGGAAAGGTTGGGTATGAGGCTAGCAACCCCATCCTGTAAAATAAACACTGCTACAGAAACTTCAAGCCACTAGCTTGAAGCCCTATGTTCCACTGTGGAACGTGAAGGATAAAAAAATCCAAACATCAGAAACCATTGTGATTCTCTTAAAATACCAAAAATCCTGGGTGCAAACAAAATATATTAATGAGCACTCTTGTTTACGTAATCAGCAAAATAAAATAAAGTTTAGTAATCAGCAATAAATAAAGCACCAGGATTGAAACATTGAACAGTTTATCACTTTCCTCAGTACTGATTTCGTTTTTAATAATCAGCGTATACTTCATTCAACTGACTGAATGGGCATACGCCTAAATCCACTTGAAAAGGTTTTGTTTACCATTTTCAAATTTAGATGGGAGGGAGAAAAGAACGCAGGACATAATTCCTTTGTTATTCTGCACTGAATTACATACTCCACGTTAAAAATGGAATAAGAAAAAACCTATTTTTGTTTCTTGATGATTTGATAAGTAATCTCTGGTTACATTTGTAAGAGAAATGAATTGTTGTATACAACTATTGTGTGCACAAATTTCATCATCATCTCAAATGGTTTCATTCACTCGCTTTCGTCTTCAAAACAAAATTTATAAACACGAACAGTTTTAAGCAGTGGAAACAGATTAAATCTGTAACATTAAGTTGGAAGATGAAGACAAAAGAGACTGAAAAAAGTTGTTTACAATTAATTATGATCATTATTTATTTGTTCATTAAAAAAAACTTCTTGTTGGTCTGTTCATCTAAGATTTATGTAACTGAGAGTGGGTTTTTTTATTCACCATTCTAACTGTGCGAATTCTATGCCGTCATGATTGAAATTTGATTAGCATACAAGTGTGAAAATTCACAGTCCAATGTCTTCATCGTCGTTAGCTAAAACAAGAAAACAACTACAAGATTTGAAGTGAAAAACAAAATCTAATCGTAAATAATAAACACCGTCTAAGTGTTTCTATTATGTTTTTTCAAGATTAGAAACAAAATTTACTGTTAGTAAAGATTCTAGTATCACTTTATCAGTTATATTTTTCTGTTTATTTTATTAGCGTCATGATACAACTTTTGTAGATTTAAAAACATTAATGTTACTACTATTATTACTCACAGATATTTTGTAGTATACCCTATCGTTATCTTGATCTGTTAGGTATTGTAGAAATTGACTTTTCATTAGATTCGTATCAGGCACTATTGAACAATTACTTTATTTACATTTTGTGGGTTTTTGTAAGGATTTAGAAATAATTCCAATGTAGATTTTGCAACGAACCAACATCAATCAGAGACAGTCACTGAAAAACAGGGAGATCTGGACAGTTACTTCTTCCTGATTTCAGACTCTTCAACAGCGTGCATCCACGAATCCACCAGGAACCAACCTCGAGACTTTCAGGTTACGAGGTGAAACTCGTTCACCATTCATTGAAGACATCTACAGTGAAATTAATTCAAATCCCCACAAAATCCATGATCTAAATATCAACTTCCAGCTCATTAGCGACTAAGGATAGATGCTTTGAAGTTGTAATGAGAGATCATGGCTAGTGGGATGTTCATCGAAGGTATTGGTTGGTGGGAGTGCTGTGTCATGAATTGACAGAGTTTAGAATTCCCGATTCACCGAATTTTGGCCCAAGTGTGTGTGTGACTGTCAACGAGCTTGACTGCGTAACCTGAACGTCTCGTGTTTAGTCCTTGGTGGGTTTTTGGATGCACGCTGATGAGGAGTCTCAAACTAGGACGAGGCAGCTGTCCAGAGCTTCTTGTTTTCCAGTGACTGTCTCCAAATGATATTGGTTTGTTATGAAATCTACATTGAAATCACTCGATTTTTTTAAAAATTCATTTAAACAGTTAATCAGTCATCAGATTTATCTTTTGTATGAATGTAGAACATCTTTATTAGTCAAGTTTCATCTAGTCTAACAATTCACATTATTTGACGAAAGGAGAAAGAATACACATTGGAGTACAATAAGCTGGGTGATATCCATTTCATTCCATGGGTTCTCTTTTCATCTACACACAACTTGCATTGATTAATACAACACTTTACAATAAAATCTTAGCATCCTTTATGTAATATGAGTTGTATGCAGCTGCGGCGAATCCAGGAAATGAAATGGACCACCCATTTTATTCTACTACAATGTATGTTTTTGGTCTTTTCATTGTCTATGAAGAGGAATATGTTCATGAAGTTTTGAAATTCAAGAGATCCTGATTTCTTTTTAGAATATGCTTTTCTTTTAAAAAGTATTATCATTTATGTTAGTCATTTACTCAACAAATATTTCTAAAACTTCCCTCTATTAACGACCCTCACTGACAATAAGAAGACAGAAGAATTGCCTTATCAGATGTGACTTTTCATGTGATAATGACAGCTTATTCTCATTCTATTCGTCCTATTTATTCACTCAAAATGCCTAACAACAGCAACAGATACTGCTGAAATCTGATAACTATCAAAATACTATACAGAAGTGAAGCATTTCATCCTAGAATATGGTTTCTATGCTCATAGTCTGACGGATAGTAAATGGTTTACCTGTTTAGCTGCAGGTGTATTGACTAACTACCATCTGACACACCCTATCTCGTCACTCAAGAGAATCGATCATACCCTGGGTAATGCTAAAGTATGATAATCCCTGATCATATTTTGGCTCTACCAAGTTTTTCGTTTTGTCTATTCAATTTGTATACTCTTCCTTTATTAGGTCAGTTGCTACTATTACTCTTCTCACTTTGAACTGTTCCCGGTATTATTTCACTCGTTCCAGTTGTCATTCTAAATCATTTCTGTTTTACGACGTTACATTCTATGTCATCGAATTTCACACAATGTTACGTAACGTCTTTATTTTTATTCTATTTGCCTACTAATCCCATAATTGCACACCACTTCCAAGTTCCATGAATCCTATGAATTACTCGGCATGTTACTAATATCTATTCATAAGTAGTATATACTATAGCAGTATCAATTATATTTCATTTATCAGCTAGATAGCTTTATATATATTGTGCTGTTTAATTACAGAAATATTTCAGTAAATACTAATTCTTCTTTTATTAAACAGGCTTCAAACTTCTACATCATGACAAATAGACAATTATTTCTTCTCCCGTTGACAAGATGTTCAGAATACAAGACATTTGATGAATGCCTTCAATTAAAAGATCCACATTGTGGTTGGAATTGGCCTGAAGGTAAATGTTCAAGTGGTTATTTATTCGACTCCAGTATACAAATTAATCGTTTAAGTACATTTTCTCCATCAGTTGATCATAGACAACAAAGTTCACATGAATGTCCATCAAAAAGTTATTCGCTGAATAAGGATAAGGATAATTCATGGACTCCATGGTATACATGTGGTTGGATAAATTCACAACAAATAAATGATCAAATGCCAATAACTAGTAATGAGGATGATGACAATAATAATCACGTTAATAATAATAGTATTAATATTGACGAAAATACTACTGATCATATTTCAATGAATCAACTTGGCAGTTGTCAATGTCGTGTATGCATTAGTCATACCAATTGTATTTTCGGTATACAACAAGTGAAAAATTGTACACGTAAGTTTTGTCACTGTATTGATTGATTTATATCTATGATTGATAGAATAAGTGTTTTCATATATCATTATTCCTTCCAGTTAACTTGCATAGAATAAAATTCACAATTTGTAAATTACACAGATCATTGTGAAAACTTTCCCACTAATCTTTGAGCTAATTCAAACTGGGTGCATTGCTGATAAACTCGGCTTCAGACGAGCAAAATCATCCTCCGATGTTTAAGATCTCTGTGATCTAACTGATGCGCAGTCCTGTTGTTATGTCCTCCCAGGCAATCCAACCCTCAGTCACTCACTTTTAAATTCAGCGGCTTGGCTATTACACCACTCTGACCACCTGTGACAGCACACTGTGGTGCATTTAATTTAGTGTTATAAGCAAAATCCTTTCATTAGTCAGCATTGAAAAATAAATAACTTCATTTTTGACCATAAAGAGATGGATTTGTGTAAAAACTTTTGTGCCTCATTATACGAAATTTAAAGTACGATGTTGTAATTCAGCTTTGATCATTAACTGACTTCATTTAGAGAATCCCTGAAAACCAGGGATTACTGGACAGCTATTTCATCCTGGTCTGGGACTCTTTATCAGCAAACATCCACATTCGAACCTTGCTTTATATACTTCAAGTGTCGCGTTTATTTCAGCCAAAACAAATTTTTAATGTATTCACAATATAGATTTTATTGTTAGCAGATTCGTATAGAATTAGCGAAAATCCTGCAAAAAGCCTGACTTCTGTTAAACTCAAGAAATGTAGGTCTTTAACAAAATAATGTGCTGATTAGCTCTTCGAGGTATTTCTTATCCCATTATTCAGGTTAGCTTTTTAACTCAGTCACACTTAGAGCAGTAGCAGAAGCTTATTTTTAACTTTTAGCTGTGAGAAATCTTTACCTGGATTTCCCATTAGTACTTCTCTAAGAATATGATTCTACAGTAGGGAATACTTCTGAGACTATACAACACTTCTGTTTTCTATTCCATGGTTGCTGTTTACTTTTTTCGCTATTCACAGGTTACAACACTTGCCTATGAGTTTCAAGGAAGTAACAAATCCACATCTTTCAGTATCTGATAATCTAACAGCTGATGGCGATGATTTCTTTTGCTGATCGCTTTTCTTCTTTGCTTAAGTTTAATTCACTATTATTATTCCCTTAGGTTCCCAAAAGAAAGTAGAGCTTCAACAGTACATCTCCATTTCACTGAGTTCTCCGCAGTCCCCTTTAACTGGCTTCATCATTGCCTATAAGCTCTCATCTCCTCCGCGTCACTTTCTAAGACAGCCAACTGGTTGTTATCCTTTGGGGTTCCACCCGACAGAGTTGTGTGTGATGTCACTCAGCAGTCTCCTCAACGCGTGTCTAGTCAATCTCCATTTCCTCCTGCACATTTTCCGGACAATAGGTTCTTGATTGTTTTGTTCACAGAATTCCTTGTTGGTTGTTCATCCTTCTCGGTCAACAAATCTTAAGTAAGGAGCAAGCCAGCTGTTAATAAAGTCCTCAGTAGCCTGTTGAACATGCTTTTGGTGGCACACCAAGTTTCTGACGCATATAGAAGCACTGACTTAACATTAGTGTTGAAAATCCTAATCTTGTTCTTCATGCTGAGTGCAGCAGATTTTCACACCGGCTCCAGATTAATGAAGGTCTGTCTTGTTTTTTCGAATCTGCTCCTGACATTCTTATCTATACCACCTGTATCTGAAACGACGTGAGGGTAGTAGAACTTTCTCAGATGTCCAGGGAAGGTTTGTAGTCATTTCTTTTGCACACGTTGTCATTTGATTCGATGAATAAAACTTCGCGCATCCCTCCCTGTCTGTACCTGTTAAGACCGTCACCTCTTCTCGTCCTGTTGTTTGGTTGTATGTAACCGCATGTATGCTTTAGCTGAACTTTATTAAATTCTTTATTTTATTAGAATCGATCAATCTAAACTTCGTTAGGCTTTGTGTTCCACCAGTCTAATTGACCCCAAATTTTACACTTATATTAGTTTTTGATCTTTAGAAATGGAATTTCAAATCATTTTTCGTAAGTGCCACAAAATTATAACTTCAGCAGTATTACTCGCTTTTTACTAACCAAAAATCGATTTATCGGTTCAAAAGTCACGTGTATAGTGTGGTATGAATGTAAAAAATCGCACCTCATATCAATGAATGAATGAATGCTTGACCTTGATCACTTTGTACCTAAAGTTTAGGACGAGAGTAAGAATTGCGTTTCAGGTGAAATTTAAAACCTAAGGAAAAAACATAGAGGTAACCATGGAAATTATGTTAATTAAAATCAATTCGAGTGATGACATTGATCATTCAAGGTTATTTGCATATTTGGAAGTTTGAAGAGTTTGCCATTGCAGTGATAATAAAGCGATATCGTAATCATCTTCTTCACTTTTCTTTACAGGTTATGACGAGAACTGGTTACCCTGGTCAACATGGAGTGACTGCAGCTCATCTAATAGTATACAGACAAGAAAAAGACAGTGTCGACCAAACGCAATTTGTTCTGGCATAAGTGTTGAGCACCGATCATGTCTAGACGATGCAGTTTGGTTCAAACAGTCTAATACACTGCCTAAAGCAGGTAAAAATATATTTTTTTCGCCCCTTCTAACTATTTTGGTCAACTGCAACTTAACATACCAGTAGAATTATTACAGAATAAGCTTTACATAAAAAAATAAATTTTAATAAGTCTACTCGACACTGTTGTCTTGTCAGAAGTTGGTTTTGTTCGTTGTACTACTTTGCTAATTATAAGGATAATTTGCAGAAAATCACCTTAAGGAATATTACAGTTTCCAGTTAAGTAGAGGATTAATGAAGGATGTATTTATGATGTACATACAGTGTCTATGGTTGAACTCCATAATCTTGAATTCCAACGGAATCAAGCCTCATATCGCAAATGACGAGTTCAATGTGTATTCGTTGGTCAGTCTGCTCAACTTGAGATGAATTGCAACCATTATCCGGTGTTATTTGTGGTCATTTATCCTCATGTGGATATTTCTTGTTGCCATACATTTTCTAAAGGATTTAACCAAATTCAACTTGAAGCTGATTGGTAATTTATCGATTAGTTAGCGAAAGGGTCTCATAGTTCTCCACTGAGATTTTTAAGAATACATCACTTCATAGTCCCAAGCTAAGCTAACGACGACTTCTAATACCTCAGTAATAGAAACGTTTTATTTGATAAAACACAGTAATACTGATGACGCTTCGAGCACAATCCACTGCTAATAATCATATCATATGATCATTACATCACACGATTATGAGCAATAATTTGTGCTGCAAACGTCACTGGTAAATGAAGACTATTGCGTCATTGTGTATTTTATCAAAAATCTAAAAGTATCCTCTTGTCAAATATTACCCTACCACAGTGACCAAATTATATCCTTAGATTTCGAAGACTTAGCTATCCTAGAGGTCTTATGATTAATTGCGAATATAGTGCAATCAATAAATTCTTTAAAAGAAAGAGCTACATCACAGTAAAATAAGTAGAGTTAGACAAAATAAGTCTTTCTATTATTATTACTTCGAAGAATTAAGGGCAGAGCCTGTTGAAGTGATATTTGTCTTGTAGGACAACTACTGAAAGTTTACATCAAGTAATGTTGTGAGAACCTGTCAACTATAAAATAAATCAGTACACTCTAAATATGAACAGGCTGGGTTGTGGATTTTCAAGAGTATAATATGTGAAGTGAACAATTAGGAGAACAAGACAATATTTCTACCGTTCACTTCTTTTCGCAAGCAATAAACACATCTATAAAACAATTAAATTTGCATTCTATCCTCAGAATAGTATCCTTGTAATTATTTTATGACATGTTGCTTGTAACAAACGAAAATGACCCAAAAAATGAATTTGCATCATCGATAAGCATTTTAGAAATGTAGCATCTCACTATTGTTTGTTAATATTTTAAAAATTCATCTTTTTAGTGTCATGTGACAATGAAACTTTTTGTAATTTGAATGAAGTAATGAAATTCATGTTGTTAAAATGATTAAGGATATTCTGATAGGTATTACTGGGTTGGTGGTAGCTAGCGGTTTAATGCAGGACGTGAGCTTCGTCCCGTTTCGGGTCCGTCAGGTGAATTCACCTGCTTCCTCATGCAGCGATGGTATTCGCACTGAGAATGAAAACCTATGCCACTATCGACTGGGCTACACAGTTGCGAGTCACTTCTTGTACTCAAATTATTCTCAAGTTCTTGTCAGTTTATCTTGCTGGACTGAATCTCGAATACGCCAAAGTGTGTCCTGTAAAATATTGTCAAATATACTCCTGAGTTCTAGATCACGTCATTATCCTGTTAATTCAGCCTGCTGTGTCAGGCTATTCAAATGCCTAAGATTACAAGTGAGACAAATTCCATAACAGTTATTTGAATATATTTGAATATTCTAGCAGCACACGACATATCGTCGTCAACCATATGTTGTCTGCATATGTCAAAGAGACTATGGGTACCATCATAGCAGCCATATCGGATATTGGTCATGAGTTTATGTTTTGCTCATGTGACTGGAAAAGAAAGTACCTAAAACTGATAACTCCCGAGTTCTATGTACAAAAAGACGCTTTAATGTTAACATTTCATTACAAAAATACAAGATATGTACGACACCTGTTGAAAGTCTTACAGCTAAGGTACTCTTTAAAGCCGCTTAGAATTAACTTTTTATCCGTCTCCTCATAAAGACGACAATATCTAGCATTTTGTTAGTGTATAAAAGCGGTGGGATTGGAACGAAATTTTCCTAATTAATTTGAACAACTTAGCAATATGCCGAATATTGTCAGTCTTCTGGTGACCATAACTACCAATAGTTCTCATATACAACCTCGTGCTGAATCCATGAGTCAAGCTTCATCCATGCAATTTCTGTATTATAGAAGTTTGAGTCAATACGAGTCGATTACAATTCGACGTCTTACAATGGCTTACTACAAAGAAGGTGATTTTATTATTTATCCTAAGATCTGCCATTTCTGAACAATAGCTCAGATAAGATCAAAAAGTAGCCTGAGACCTAAATAAAAATTTCACAAAGTAATATGTTAGTTAGAAACCTTTCAAAATAAGTAGTATGATTCGAGGAAATATAAATTTTGAGCTGCGTACTTCCATTGTTCACCGGTCATTTTAATAATTTTGTACTCAAAACATTTATTCATAATGATCATAACAGCGTTTTGATGAAATCCTCCAGTGCACAAAAACAATACCATTAAATCAACTACCCAAGTTGCGCACATATTCGTAGCTTTTTCAGAGCCAGAATAATGCACAAGAATGAGTTGAAATGCATAGCTAATGGTATATACTACTAATTGAAATGAGTAGTCAAACATCAGTATTTGTGATTACCAGATTGAAGTGATCTAAACACTGGGAATGTATTCCTTTTTAAAATTATTCGTATTTTACATAAATTCAAATTCCCATTTATCACTTACTTACCTGATTCTCTTTATTTTTTGTTCATTCTTTTACGTTTTGCTATTTAGCTAGCTATAATAAACCGCGAATTAGTTTCACAGGTCACACAGATGGTTTCACGCTTACACATCTAATACTTGTAGCGATATGTGGACTCTTAACAGGCAGCTTATTAACAATTATATTATTTTGGACGTGTAGGCGTCGTCGACGTCTGTTTGATGAAGATGATCTTATTCCATCACCAAGTAAAAGACATATAAGCATTATTCCCTCACATTGTCCAAATCATTTATCTTATGAAGATCAACAGACCTGTTTAACCAATAGTGAACCACTAGGTGTTAGTAAACAGTGGAGTTTAATGGATGAAAAAGAACCTATCTGGTCTAACAAATCAGATTCAACAATGGTGACAGGTGTAGATCAACGATATGAATTTTTGCCACCTAGTCATATGGCACCAACAGTATACAATAAATCCAATAGGTCAGTTAGTAGAAAGTCAATAAAACTGCGTCATTCAAATTCACCTTGTTATGATATACCAGCAAATATACACCTTCTGTGCAGTTCACCTTTACCCTCACCAACATCAATGGTAAGCAGTCAGTCAACTGCATCAACTCTATTGAAAGATAAGTTTACATTTGATCCTTCTACAGAACAAAACCCGAATTATCTACAAGATGATAAAAATAATTTAATCAATATTATTCCTGATAATGTAACTGAAAGTTACAATGAAAATCTAGGAAAATTATACTTAGCTGGTTATTTGTATGCACCAATAGAACCATCACCACATGACAGGTTGACAACATCAACTGCCACAACAATAACACCAGTTGCCACAACGAAATTCAACTACAGGTTACCTCAACCTCAAGAATATTCTACTATAATGCCTTCTCGTATTCAAAAAAATACTAGTCTTGTTATTCCAAAGCCTATTATAATTCAACCTGCGTATTCATCATACATAAGAGATGAAGATAAGAATAACAGCAACATCATGACAACAGCAACAACAACAACGACAAAAACTATTAATGGAGAGATTCTTACAATCACAGAAAATCCAGTACACATTGCATAGATTTCTGCCTATCAGTGAAATCCATCTCCTACCTATAAGAATTCAAAATTACTGTCTTTAGGTAATAATAAAAAATATATAAAAATTAACTATCAAGAAAAATAAAACAAATTTATATTTAATTAGTATTTAAAAATCATGCATACATATGTACATGTAAAAATCTAAATTTATTCATTTTGTTTTAACTTATTATAGAAAAATTTATTTGAAATTGTATACAGCAAAACATTTTCCAAGTTGTATCTCACCATTTCTGTGTACAATCTTATTTGTTTATCTTATCATACTTTAAAGATATCTCCAATACTATTACTAATAATAATATTATTAAAGAAAAAATATTAAAAGTAGAATTTTTCATCTAATGGAAATTTTGTATTGTGGCAAGTAAGTCTTTAATTGAAACCATGTTCCAGATAAATACGGGTGTTGTCCAGTAGAATACGAGAAACAAAATATATATCACTGATATGCTACTGTAACGACAGAAGACGAGGGCCAGGCAACAGATCGTTTATTGAGAAAATCAACAGATATTTATAGATTTTCACGTACATTATTATTGGTCATTATTAGCAGAGAAATAGCGTCCTCTGATTGGTCGTTTTATCACTGGAAGTTATTCTGTCATCTCTTTGTGGCCATTTCTTTGAAGGTCAGACCGTATATCTGCGAATTGTATCCGCCTACGCAAAGTCTGCTGTGATTGGTTGTTGAGTTAGTCTTTGTTCTTGTTATTTGTCGTGACCAAGATTTGGGGCATAAACATTGACGTAAATTGCTGTCTACCAATTTTGGCTAGCAGACAGCTCTCACCACACTACTACCTCCAAATTCATCACATTTACTAAGAAAAATAAATAGTTTTATAGAAATCTCTGTTGTGGAGTATGAAAGTGAAGTAACTAAAGCTCTGAAGGTATTTACAACGGTCAGGCTACCTGCTGTATTAGTCAGCTAACATTCACACATCTCAATTTTTAGCCTACTGATGACTAGTAGAAGGAGTAGTTTTTCTATTGCTAATGTTGATGAGCGTCTTTCAAAGAATACTAGAAGGAATAGATAATAACAGTACACTTTTAAACAGATTTTCTCCAATCCTTGAGTTCCTAGGGGAACATAGGTCTTCAGGCTTGAAGCCTTGAAGTTTCAGTAGAAGTGGTGTTGTTTTATGAAGTGAGGTTGATAGCCTATTACCCACCTTTCCCTTTTTCCTTGACTTACTGTCAGCTAGTAAACTAGGCGAGGTTTGGGATTGCGTCAGCTGGGAATTGAACCTAGGGCTACGTGTGTGGTTGGCGAATATTCTACTACTGAACCTTTGATAGACTTAAACAGGTTATAAGGTTTACAATTTTCATGATAGATATGAGCAGTATGTTTACTTAATGGATTATTAAGTAAATGAAGCTCAGATAAAGGGAATCAATCACTTTTGAAAATCTGTAATTAATAGTTGTAATGAACGATTTCGTGTAAATGAGTGAGCAGGAATAGTATGTCATTTTTACAGATAAAATTACAGATGTCGTATAGTTTTACAATATATGTTATGCATTGGGTCTCGACTTGTAATACAGGTTATTTTCCGGAAGATGTACTTTATGTGACAGACAGTTTTATGGTTAAGTGTTATAAGCACAAACCAAGTTAAAACTAGTTTCCATGAGTTAGTTCAGGTGTGGACTGGATGCCTAAATTAAAACCACTGTACTCACTTACTATTCTTCAACCCTATTCACTGGGAGGTAGTTACATGAAGAGAAAGAACGTAAATAAGCTGCTTGAATATTAGGTAGATGAATATAATACGCATGATTAAAACTGAGTTTAAAGACGGAGATTTCATAATTGTAATATAAACATAACGAATACTGACTGCATATATATGTATATATCATGTGTCTAGTCCTTGGTGTTGCTGTCAACTGAATTCAATCAGTGAAGTTTACGATACGGTCACCAAGCTAAGTGGCTAGTCATTTCCCTGATCTTTGAACTTACGTTAGATGGTTGGAAGTAGTTAGTGAGAGATCGTGTACCTAGACTTTGTCCTTGTCGGCAGTCATCAGCAAGGCATATTTGCAGCCATGGATGGAACCGTTTCCTCTCTGAGATTCGAACCTGCCTTCTACCGGAGACTTCTCTGTTCTAATGTCATAGCATCTACATTCACCTATGTTATTTCATTGAAAGAATTTGCAGAACCGACATGAAATGGCTGTTCCACAACCTTTCTAGGACAACTATTTTGTTATTAATAGTGCACTTGTCGAGTCTTTATGCTTATCTAATTTCAGGTTGGCTACGTAGAGTGCAGGAAAACCCCTCCCCTCTCAGCTAATTGTATCATGATTGGTTGTAAATACAATCCTTGACCTTGAGTCTTCGTTCTTACTAGTACACGTCACTTGTGTGATCACCCTGCTAACGTGCTCTTCGCTCTCTGTTTCAGATCATCGCTTGACGACTGGCACTACAATTTTGTTAACAACATATCTTTTCAAGTTTACACTTTTGTTTCTTAATACAACATAATTCTTCTTTGACCGTATATAGCGTTAGCACATAGTAGAATGTGAAGACGTGGATGTACTATAGTATCATAATAAGTGCCCCATATCCTCACTACTTTGTACCATGAGCTGCCACAAAACTTAGACTGTTATTTTATTTATTTTCCTATTTTTAATTCACTAATATTCCCAGCACAGTAATGAAATTAACAAAATAGACATTTTTGCCCTTCACTAGCTTACTATTTGCCAACACTCTTTACCACTCAGAATTACTGACTGTTAAATCCACCTGTTCCCTCTGCTTTTTCAGCATTCATTTATTTTCGCCACAACGTCTCTATCACTTGCACTACATATTTTTGTATCATTTTAGCGTTATAGTTATCTTCTGGTCTCACAATATCTGACAATACGTGGTTCAGCAGTATTTGAGATGTTAAGAACCGCGAATTTACTTGCGGAGCTAGTAGGCCTATTGTAGTCAGATATGATCCAGCTTAAATACTGATTAGTGGTCCCGTTGCAGCTGATTATCTCTGACGTTTTTTTCAGTAGAAGAAGAATCACTGGTGACTTTATAGTTCTTTTCAGTGTAACATATGCAAAGTCGACAGCGAGATTCTGGGGTCCCCTAGGAAACAGAATCCAATCCACCAATGGTTCAGAAATAGAAATATTTATATCCATCCGGATGAATACATACGCCAGAGTCAGTTTCATGTATCTGTGAATCTCGAAATCAAAGCTATAAAACCTTTCTTGGACTCTGTTAGATACAATTATCCATCGTAAATAAAGACTCAGTTTCATCTTAAAATACAGTTTATGAACATTTTAATGGGTTTTTAATGTCTCTTTATAATGGCTCATTGCTCTGGGTCATTCAGTAACCTTGTAGTGACCCGTTTTATTACTTTCGCAGTATACTTTCACTATGTAATTGGGCTTTGATTTGTTTATCACTTTAAAGATTGCGTGTTAACAATTGAAACTTTTGTACTCGCTCAATTTTTGAATTTTGATTACTGCTATAATACACAATCGTATTCCTTCGCAAGTGCCTTTTGAATTACGTTGTGGATATCGAGTAATCACAACGTTAGGACACAATTATAAACGCAAAGAAGCACTAGGATATAAGTGTACGCTAGTTTGGTCAAAATAGAGCAGCACAACAATTGCTGAGCCCGACATAGCTGATCGATCGACTACATCATTTCGAAGTATACACACAGTGGATCTAATCATCTTTGCTATCGTATTAACTTTTATAACTGCATACCATTTGGATATATATTTACTGGTATTTTTGCCAAAAATACCTCCGGTAAGTAGACCATTTTGGACATTATTGAACTTACCCATATTCTGTTCTGTTTGTGCTCACTTTCTATAATTTTGCTATCATCAATATGTATTATTTTCTGCTCTTTTATGATGTCGTTTAATACTGATAACGACACTTCAAGTACAAGGTCTGTGGCTGCAGTTACCATATCCATACCACCTTTTAAACCTAACTACCCATATTTGTTGTTCACTCGCCTGGAACACTACTTCCTAGCTAACCACGTCACTTCTCCGACTACAAAATTTGGCCTTGCAAGCTCCATATTACCTGACGATATAACAGAGCGAGTACGGGAGACGCTCATAAATCCAGATCCAGAAACTCCCTACGGTGTTTTAAAGCAGAAGGTTATTAAGGTTGCTTCTTTATCAGATCAGAAAGCTATCGATCAGCTGCTCAGCAATGTTAGCCTGGGTGATAGAATACCTTCTCAACTCAAAAGCCATATGTGTAACATTTTAGGAGATCGGAAGATAGACGCCAGGTTTTTCTATCAATTGTAGCTAAGACGATTACCCCACAACATTCAGCAAGTATTAGCATTTGGAGATGAAGACATAGATATTGACAAGTTGGCAGAAATCGCTGACAGAATGTATGAACGGACATCTCCATAAGTAACAACCTAGGTGTTGTTCTTTAAATATGCCGACTACAGGAAATAACCAAAGTTACTATTCGACCAGGTGATCCAAAAGGCGGTGTATTTATTGGCAAAGATAAACTGTTTCGATTTAAACGGATGGGTGCAGCAGTGACCTCGGAATGCAAATTAAAATAGTTTGGAATATAAGGACATCAATATTCAGAAAAAGATTTTAGTTTCATTCTTTCGAAGAAAAGACTTCTATTAATGTTTTCTTAATTGAAACAAAAGGTGGTGGAGTATAAAAACAGGCCGATGTTGACGCAAATATGGGAACCACAAGGTCGTTCTCCTTGACCGGTTTCCAGTGTTTGAAGAGAATACCGTTTCTAATAAATCTAGGCCTCTGACGAAATGTTTAGAAGGGAATCAAAAACACACAACAAGAGGAGATGGAAGACAACCATTTTCAGGCTTGAATTTATAGATATTAAAAGTTTTAACAAGCATCGATCAATATGTTAGTCAACGATAATGATAGTGCCCGTTATCTAAGGCATAGTACTTTAAAGTTCAGGAACAAATGATGACAAATAATATTAGTTCTGGTCATTGCATACTGTTAACAGATTACCCAAAATTCAGTTATATAATCAATATATCGCCTTGTGTTTCAAAGGGATGAATGATATAGGACAGCACCCACTGGAATCCCATGTACATTCATATAGAAAGTCAGGAAATTCTTCATCGAACATAGATAAAGTGGAGAAAAACGTGCAGTGTATATCAGTCACCTAGTATATCAACTGAAGTGAGTGAAGTAATTAATAACTTATTTCAGCTAATGTCTCAGGAGAAAGAAGACGAAGAAGATAGAAAGAAGAAAAATTAGCATCCGAATTGGAGGAAAGTGATGTTTACCGTCTGCATTGTATCTGAGTACAAATAGTGTTCATCAAGAATGTATTATTATCCATAACAAAAATAGGTTAGCGGTAAATACTTCTCAAAATTCGAAGGCAGCACATTTCATCATCTA